TCACATTTGTAAGGTTTCTCTCCAGTATGGATCATCGTATGTCGAGTAAGGCAGTGAACGAATGTGAAAGGCTTTGCCACATTCTTCACATTTGTACGGTTTCTTTTCAGTATGGATTATTGTATGTTGAGTAAGATGTGAATGAGAACGAAAGGCTTTGCCACATTCTTCACATTTGTAGGGTTTCTCTCCAGTATGCATCATCATATGTCGAGTAAGGAGTGAATTAAATTGAAAGGCTTTGCCACATTCTTCACATTTGTAGGGTTTCTTTCCAGTGTGGATTATCATATGTTGAGTAAGATATGAATGAGAATGAAAGGATTTGCCACATTCTTCACATTTGTAGGGTTTCTCTCCAGTATGGCTCATCATATGTCGAGTAAGGCGTGAATGAATGTAAAAGGCTTTGCCACATTCTTCACATTTGTAGGGGTTCTCTCCAGTATGGATCATTGTATGTTGAATACGATGTGATTGAATGTGAAAGGTTTTGCCACATTCTTCACATTCATAGGGTTTCTCTCCAGTATGGATCACTGTATGTTGAGTAAGATGTGAACAAGAATGAAAGGCTTTGCCACATTCTGCACATTTATTTATTTATTTACTTATTATTATTTTTTAGTTGGAGTCTCACTCCCTAAACCAGGCTGGAGTGCAGTGGCCACTCCCGGTCACTGCAGCCTTGATCTGCTGGGCTCCGGTGATCCTTCCACCTCATCCTTCCCAGTAGCTGGAACTACAGGAGTGCACTATCATACCCAGCTAATTTTTTGATTTATTGTAAAAATGAGGTCTCACCAAGTTCCCCAGGTAGGTCTCAAACCCACAGGCTCAGGCAATCCACTCACCTCAGCCTCCCAAAGCACTGGGATTAGAGGCTGAGCCACTGAGCCCAGTTCATTCTTCACATTTACAGAATTTCTTTCCACAGTGAATTTTCTGATGTTGTGAATGACATGAGTAATAGCTAAGGGCTTTGCCACATTATTCATTTCTGAAGGTTCTCTCTCTCCTATGGACTCTTTCAAGTGTACTTAGATAGGATTATTTCTTAAAGACTTTTCCAGATATATTATGTATATTTTCTCCATTATTTTTTTGATGTTGACTACATTTTGAGGACTGATTAAAGGTTTTGCCATATTTCTGTTTGAAAGCCATTTCAGAAATATGGATACTCTGGTGGATAACAAATTTGGAGTGTTAATGAAAGACTTTCTACTCTTGTGACATTTGTATTGCTTATTTGCAACCGAGCATTCTATCTGCCCTTCACCCTCTACACACTTACACAACATTTTTGTAAGTATAAGTTCTTAAGGTCATATTTACCGTATTTTCCCTTTGACACATTTGCAAGTGTGTCTTCTATACTCTTCTCTGGCAAAAGGCCTTCATTGTAATGAGAAGTCACGGCTGAAAATCAGGAAAATAAAAATCTATTCCACATGCTAGACTCAGTTGAATACCCTTTGAAAATAAAACATAATATTATACCATGTTAAGGACATAAGTTTGATGGCAATTATAAATCACAGGTTTCCACTCCATCATAAATATATGTACTTAAGAAAATACTTACCTCCTTGTGTGTGTGAAAGCTGAAAAAACAGCTAACACTTTGCAGAATCCACATGATAAAATGAGTTACATGAAAGAGAAAGTTGATTAATTTGGCCACGATAATTTCTCTTCCTTTACAATGCAACATGATGCAATCAGATAGGATGTTCTAACTCTTGAATTCCTCCTCAGGGAATAAACAGAAGAGTGGAGTATGAGTCCACATTTCTGTCCTTTGAGAGTTTATGAAAAGACTGGTTTCTGTCCCAACATACAGAGAAGACACATCCTAAGAACAGGTATGAGTCTCCTAGAATGTCTAACTTAGTGATTGGTGTTATATTAATCTAGACAAAGCAACATCATATACATTTTGACGTGTATATCTTTGAATTTCAAATACCCCAATTCAACAAAGTATGTCAAAGCACAGAAAGAATCAGGATAAATGACTCAACTAAGGGTACAACAATAATTTGTGGAGCTGCAAACTACAAAAAAGTTTGAGAAATTTTCATATGAAATGTAGAAAACCTTACTTGAGCCATAACACAACTGCCTGGGTGACAGAGAACATGCTGATAAAATGTAAACATAAAAAGGATTTGTAAAACAACCTTGATATTTATATTGGTCTCAGTAATAACTTTTTTTATGACCACAGGTATAAAAATAAATACAAATAAGTTGGAGACATCAAACTGAAAAGCTTCTGCAGAGTAAAAGGAAATAGAAGAAGCCTTACAGGACAAGAAAAAAACATCTGCAAACCATATACTTGATGGAGAGACTAAAGAAAGAAAATGGTAACCACTTGAATAAAAATCAGCCCCAAAATGAATAGCTATTATCCAATGAGGACACACAAATTGGCAACAGGTATATGAATTGTCACTGAACATCACTAGTAGAGGCAATTTCAGATAAACACAATGATGGTATATTGTCTCACAGCTGTTAGAATGGCTAATATCAACCAGAAGAGAGAAAGAGAAAACTTTTGATAAGGATGTGAAGAAAAAGAAATCCTGTATACTTTTGGTGAGCTTAAAATTGGCAGAGTCATATAAAAGTCATTATCAACATTCTTTTAAAAATAAAAACAAACTGCCACATAACACAGAGATCCCTTCCTGGGTATATAACTAAAGGAAATAAAATCAGTACCAAAAAGAAGTTTCCAACCTCTATGGGTATTGCAGCATTTGTCAAGATGGCCAAGCTTGAAAACAACCTAAATATTTGTGGAATCTATGTTGATTAAGAAAATGTGTACACACACACACACACACACACATATATATGCACAACAGCATATGATTCAGCCAAAAATATTTTTTAAAGAATTCTGCAATTTTAACCTTTTGGATGACATTGTAAGACATGCTAACTGAAGTGAGCCAGGCACACACCCAAACAAATACTGCATGAGAATGGTTATAGTGACTCAAGTCTGTAAACCCATCACATTGGGAAATTGAGGTGAGAGGATTGCCTGAGCTCAGGGGTTCAAGACCAGTCCGAGTACCAAGGTGAGACAAATACAAAAATAAGCTTAGCATGGCAGCGCACACTTGCGGTTCCAGTTACTTGAAAGGCTGATATGGCAGGATCACCTGAGCCCAGCAATGAGGCTGTGGTGGTCATTAGCATGCCACTGCATTCCAGCCTGGAGTGAGACTCCAACTCGAGGAAAAAAAAATCCTGCATGATCTCACTCCTGTGGAATCAATAAACTTTGCACTCATAGAGAAAGAAAGTACAACGTGGTCACCAGGGCCTGCAGGTGGGAAAATGGAAATGTTTTCTAATGGTTACAAAATTTGAGTTATAACTGAGTCTTAGGAAACTATTGTGTACCATAGTGACTTATTGTTAGTAATGACATCTCATATGGTTAGAAAATTTGCTAAAATAGAACACATTATGTGTTCTCCTTACAAAACAAAAATGACAACTACATAAGATGGTTGATATGTTCATTAATATAATTATAATCATTTCACACTGTATAGGCATATTAAATTATTACATTATTTACAAACTATGGTTATACATTTTTTATTTATGTATAAAAAATCAGATGCTAATCATACATAAACATGCATACATATACGTTTGAATATATGCATATATGAAGCAAATCCTAAGCTTCATACTAAAGAAAATTAGAAAATAAGAGTTATTAAGACACAAGGAAACAGGTAGGAATTTAATATATGTTTACCAACCTTCTACATGATATAATACACTTAAATATTTGAATATAAAGAAAAACTACCAGTCTCAGATCATAGTATAAAAGTAAAATTTAAGTAGAATATCAGGATTTCTTCTACTAAGAGAGAAAATGTGTATTTAGGTAAGACTATTGAGTATGAATTTAAGTAAAATCATTGGAAATCTCCCCAGTAGAGAAAATCATAAATTAGAAAACATGTAACAAGTGTCCGGAGTATTCTTAAAATTTATCAAACAGATAACAAAATCACTGCTCACATACTTCCAACCATGATACCAAAAAAAAAAAAACCAACATAAAAAATAGTTTGAAAAGGATTGCCAAATAAATAAGCAAATACTTGCGCGTCTCCAAAGCATCAGAAAGATAGTCAGATCATGCAGTTCCTAACAAACCATTAAGTGGATTTTGATTTCCTCTGTAAACTTGAAAGATCATTGATGAAGCAGTTTTTGGAGAATTTCAGAACATGTAATAACAGATGCCCTTTGTGATAGGAAGAGAAAAAATCCCAGGCTTCTAAGAAACCATTTCCTTTGGAGCAGACCACCTTCCCAAACCACATTTCAAGCTCTGATTCCTCAACCTGTGTCATCTGCTTCATTCACTCCCTCTTACCTGGAAGTTTGGCTAATGTGCCATGTCTCTTCACATCCCAGGGCTCTTTCCTTTGCTCCAGACATGTAATAAGGTATGGCTTAGTGACAGTAAGTCCTGTTTAATTAGAAAAAAGTAACATGACTCTTGCTGGGGTTCTTAGATTACAAACCTAGTATTTGATCAGTAGAGAACACATACAAGATTCTAGATAATTAACCCCAAAAATACGCTTTCCAAATAAAACTTTTAGAACATTTAGATAAAACTTTCAATGTATGTGTTTCTTTTTATTCTAGGTTGGAGTCTCACTCTGTTATCCAGGCTGGAGTGCAGTGGAAAGCTCGTAGCCACCCCAGTGCTCACCTGTTGGACTGAGGTAATTCTCCCTCAGCCTATCAAGTAACCAGAACTACAGGTGTGCGTTACCACTCCCAGGAAATTTTTTGTAGAAATGGGGTTTGCCAAGTTGCCCAGGCTATTTTTGAAACTATGGGCTCAGCCTCCTAATGTGCTGGCATTGCACAGCAGGCCCACCATGAATGACCTTGAATTTGTGTGTTCTTAGTTCAGAACGACTGAGTCAATAACTTATGGCAGCAATGGGAATGAGATGTGGGCAATGATATCTATGCCACTAAATTTCTGAACTTACCAATAATATAGCTAGAAGGACACTGGTCAACTTAAAATAGAGAAGGCTTCATGTCAAAATGAAATATCATTAATTTTTATTTTCTATGTTAACATATTACCAACTTTTTGTTGATAGTAGGAATCTGAAACTCATTTATGCAAAGAAGAAATTCACAGAAATCATTCTATCAAGGAAGGACATAAAATCCTTAGTATGAAATAAGGATTGTGTTTTGGAAGTTTCCTCACCTAGAAAAACCAGGTTTCTATGGTTCTCTAACATCACAGTCCTGTATAATATTCGCTGAGGGGAGTCTAGGCATTTCCACTCCTCTGGAGAGAATTCTATGGCCACATCCTTGAATGACAACAACCCCTGAAAACAACAAAAACACATATTTACCAAGTCACCATGGTCTCTAGGTAAAGCAAGAGTGAAAACAGGGTCCAGTTGACAAGACAACTTTATTATTATTATTATTATTTTTTTGAGTTGGAGTCTCACTCTATCGCCCAGACTGGAGTGCAGTGGCCGCTCCCAGCCACCGCAGCCTCAACCTGCTGGGCTCCGGCGATCCTTCCTCCTCAGATTTCCAAGTAGCCAGAATTACAGGCACGTGCTACCACGCCTGGCTAATTTTTTGATTTCTTGTAGAGATGAGGTCTTGCCTGTCCAGGCGGGTCTCGAACCCACGGGCTCAGGCAATCCACTCACCTCAGCCTCCCAAAAGCATGGGATTACAGGCTGAGCCTCCGAGCCCGGCTGACAACTATTATTATGCAATAAAAAAATTGATAACACAGAAATATACTCTAATGCATAATAAAGGATGAAATAAAGTCCACTCAGCCAGTGTAGACTCTCTATTTTTGTGAGTGAAACAGCATAAAATGTACACCAACACAGGCACATACATTTAAAATTACTGTTTATATCACACAGAATACGTTACATATACTGCTCCTGGTAAGTCAGAAGATTCTCCTCAAGTTTTAGTTTGTACAACAATGAATTGATTATCTTGTTAAAATGCAAATTCTGATTCAGAATACATGAATTTAGCCTGAGGTTCTGCGCTTTTTTGTTCATTTGTTGTGTCATTCTTTTCTTTTTTTTGAGTTAGAGTCTCACTCTGTCACCCAGACTAGAGTGCAGTGCCCACTTCTGGCTACCGCAGCCTCAACCTGCTGGGCTGCAGAGATCCTTGTGCCTCAGCCTTACAAGTAGCCGGAATTACAGGCATTCACAACTATGCCCGGCTAGGTGTGCCTCATTCTGAACCAGGCTAGAGTGCCCTGGCATAATCACACCTTATTGCAGTCTCAATCTCCTTGGATAAAAGAATCCATCCTCCATAGCATTCCAAGTATTTGGGACAAATTGGTATCAGATGTCAAGGCACACAGGTGGAACACAACATCCATTCTGAGATCTTTTGGCCAAAAGTTATAGTAATTTATTATTAATTTTTGAGTGGGAGTCTCACTCTTCTTGCCCAGGCTGGAGTGTAGTGGTATGCTCAAGGCCACTGCAGCCTCGATCTGTTGGACTTAGGCAATCCTTCTGCCTCAGCTTTCCAAGTATCTAGAACTACACAGACATGCAATCATGTCTGGGTAGTTTTTGAATTTACTGTAGAGACAAGGTCTCACCAAATGCCCAAACTGTTCTCAAAACACAGGCTCAGGCAAGTGTGTTGCCTCAGCGTCCCAAAGTGCTGGGATTACAGGCTGAGTCACCACACCCATGCAACATACTAATTTATAATCTTAACTTAATAACAAGTAAGCTTGTGTTACACAGAAATCAGACTATGGGTAACTCCCATGGCATGTAATATCTGAAACTGTATTTATATTTTTATTTTTTGGCATCCTAGAGTGCAAGTCTTTTCTAATTATTCTTCATTCAGACTTTCTGGAGTTATTTTGGGCAGTAACTGCCATCCTGTTTAAATGTACATTTAATTACCGTGTTCTGCATGGAGCTGATGGAGCATCTACATAGAAACTTAACAGTACATGTTCTGGGTAGTAGAAGAGGCTCATGCCTATAATCCCAGCATGCTGGGAGGCCATGGAAAAAGAACCTCCCTGAGGTGGGTCTACTTTGTCATTTAGGAGTTTTTCTTCTTTACAAATCCAAGATAAACCAGAGGACAAACATCAATTCTGCCTTTACCCCTCAAGAACGGTGATGTCTACAAGTTCACAGAAACCAGTAGCTGAAATAAATTTTTTAAGTTACTAATTTAATAATATAAAACTTAAACCTAATGAATCCAATATAGGACAGTCAACTCTAACTCTGCTTTGTTTAATAAAGGAACAAGAAGACTGTGAACCAAGGACAAAGATAATTCACCACTTTCGAGGACTTCTCTCATCGCCCAGATGTCTGCAAGTCTAAGTCACCTCTTGATCTTAGCCGCTCTCTGTCCCACAGGCTGGATAAAAATTTTGAGAAAACACACATGACCCAGGAAGGTTCTTTAGGATGCCGTCCCCTCATTTCCTTAGTTTTAGTGTCCGTAAATAAAGTCACATCCCCTGCTCCAACTCCTTATGTCGACAGAACCGGATTTGGACCTGGTGACACAATTGCCTAATGACACTAATGACAGACCCTGGAGATTTCCACCTAGATAATTCAGATAAGGCCACTGAAGGACTGTCACCCAATAGCCTTTGCCCATCTCAGCTTCCCCTTGCCCCTTCTCATAGCCTTTCCTCCCAGGTCCTCCGGGATCTCCACACCACAAGTCCTAGCTGGAGTTTCTGGACTCAAGAACTGCTGTTGGCCAAGAGGTCTCCTTAACGTTGTGATGGAGCCACCGTTTAACTCTGAGGAGGAGAGGGAGTGGGCCTGGATCATAGCCTCCCTTTCCCCCCACCAGCCCCCCACGCAAGTCGGATCCTCTCCACAGCCCTCGCAGGTTCGGCACACTTGGAGATGGTGAGCTGCACGGAGAGTGCTCAGCAGGCGATGTCGCTGCAGGGGCAAGACCACAGGGTTGCGACCCAGGCCCACCTACACCAAGGGGACCGGGCCGAGTCTCCAGTGGGGATGGGTCCAGGCTCTGAGCTGACGGGGAGAGGCCAGTCCCTTATGAGCCGGGTCATCCAGGTCCATCCCACTCCCCCTCTCGGGAAACCTCCCTGCACACTCACCACCTCCCGCCTTCCGTGGGTCTCAGCGTCCATCCTATGAATCTCCCAGGACCTGCATGTCACAAGGAAACACAGGCTACAATGAAGATACACGAGGCTGACGGAGGAAACTAAGGCCTTGTAAGAGCCCGGAAGTTGCCCTCTCACTTCCAGCTCCTGTCTGATTGGCCATTTCAAAGCCCAGCATCAGTTCATTGGATAAAACTCCAGGCCATCTGGTCTTGAGTGACAAGACATGCAATCAGACGCGGTCTGCATGAGGCAAGAAAATGTTGAGATTTCTCCCAGCTCCGGAATGTGGTAGGAACTTGTGAGGGCGGCCCCTTACAGAAATTGCGGTGAACACTGGCGTCTGCATGACTCCCAGTTGGTGGGTTGCGGAGCTGCAGGACGACAATCCCAACATGTCCCGGGAGAGGCGGTGTCAACCTACAGTCCAGCGACCCACCAACCAGGAGTGAAAAAAACTCCCATTATGGCCCAAAGGGGGCCAAAAGCCTCCCCCCCACCCTTCTGCCCAGACTCTGGGGCAAGGAAAAATCTAAAGGCATTTTGCCTATGGAGTCCTTATTGTTTTGCACTTCCTGTCACTCAAGACCAGAAGGGCAAAGGCTTTTCCAATCAATATATGCTGAGGCCTGAACTGGTCAATCAGATGGGAGCTGGAAGTGAGGGCAGTTTTGGGGACTTTGTCACCTGCGCCTGCGCAGAGTTGGGTCGTCCTTTCTGCAGTGTCCTGTAGTGCCTTGGCACCCAAGTGTGTCTTCGCTTTGACCTCTGTCACCCTATGAGCTGCAGTACGTGGAAGCCCTTGGTGAGGCTGCTGGGACATCTGGAAGCTGGGAGAAGGTGAGTATGCCTGGGGTGTCACAAGAGGGGAAGTGGATGGACTTGGATGAACCGGCTGTGCCAGGACCAGTCTCCCCTCAGCTGACAGTGAACACATCCCCACCAGCAGCTGTGCCTGGTGCGCTCGGTGTAGGTGAGGCTAGGCCGGGACCCGGGGGGTTTGTCCCATCCATAACCTCAAGCTAAGCCCTCTGTGAACAGACCCTCTTTCCAAGTGTTTGGGACCCAAAAGAGTAGTGGGGAGGATCCGACTGGCTGGCAGGGCCAAAGGAAAGAGGGTCTGGGGTACTATTCCCCCTCCCTCCTTTCTCTACCCCAAGGTTACATCACAATGTTGAGGAAAAAATTTCTCTATAGCTCTGTAGATCAATACATTTCCACCAGAAAGTGTGATAGATTAATTGTTGAGTTTCACAGGTGCAT